ACCGTGCGCGCGCCGTTGCAGAGTCGGCCGAGGAGGCGGCGCGGGCTGCCGTGAGGCGGAAAGAGGCCGAGGCGGCCGAGGCGGTTGCGGCCCGTGACGAGATGCGCGAGCTGCGAACCACCTCCGAGGAGGCGGCGACGGCGGCCTTTGCGGAGCTCACTGCGTCTCGCTCCGAGATCGAGGCGATGCAGATCGAGCTGGCCGGCGCGAAGGCCGGCGCGGGAGCGGAGGAAGCGCGACGGGATGAGGTGGAGGCGCTGCGCAAGGAGCTGAGCGCGGCCCGCGCGCAGGCGAGGGCGGCCGAGGAGGCGCAGCGGGGCGAGGCGGCGGCGGCGGAGGGCGACAACGCGTCGAGGGACGCGCCGCGGCGCGGGGGCTGCAGGGCGGCGGGGGCGGGTCTGGCGGGGCGGGATCACGCGGAGCTCGAGGCGGAGCGGGCGGCGCGGCGGCCGGACGAGGAGCAGGGCGCGCCGCTTGCGGCGGAGGGCGGGGCGGCCGGCGCGGAGGCGGCCGGCGCGGGGCGCGCAGGCGTCGGAGACGGCGACCAGAGGCGCGCGGCAGCGAGGGCGGCGGGAGCGTCGAAGCGCGAGTTGCGCGCATTGCAGGAGCAACTGCGGCAGGCGAGGAGCCGGCTTGCCGAGGCTGCGGCGGCGAACTCGGAGCGCGACGGGCTGAGCGAGGCGGTGCGTGAGAAGGGCCGCGCCCTCCGAGCAGCAACAGAGGCCCTCTCCGACGCGCGCCGTCAGCTGTCGACCGAGCGCTCCGAGCGGCGCGAGCTCGAGGCACGGCTCGCGGCGGCGCAGTCCGAGAGCGCCACGGCCGGAGACGCGTCCGCTCGGGCGCGCGCCGAGGCGCGCGCGCGTGACGCCCTGCTCAAGCAGGCGCGCGCGAAGCTAGACGATGCGAAGGCGGCAGAGGAGAGGCTGCTCGAGGAGCGGCCGCGCTTGCTGCAGCGGGCGGCCAAGGCCGAGGCAGAGTTGCGTGGTAAGGAGCAGCAGCTCGGCGAGGCGGAGCGGAGGCTCGCCGCCGCCGCCGCCGCGGCGGCGCGGGAGGAGGAGGCGCGAGGCTCGGCGGCGGCGCGAGCCAACCGTGCCACCCGGGCGAGGCTTCGCGAGGCGGAGGAGGCGACACGCGCTCTCCGGCGGGAGCACGCGCGCGCGCTCGCCGACGCCTCGGACAGCGATCGCGCCGCGGAGGCCGCGTGCGCCGCGCGACGCGCGACGAGCGAGGTCGTGCGCAGCTTGGCGGCTGCGCTTCTCGCCGAGCCAGCCTCGCCGGCCCGCGCTGGTGGGCCTCAGGGGTCTACGGCGGACGCGGCGGCGGACGCGGCGGCGGACGCGGCGGCGGACGCGGCGGCGGACGCGGAAGAGACGAGGCGGCAGATCGAGGCGCTGTCCGCGGAGCTCCTCGATGCGCCGGCGTCTCAACTCGGGATACCGCTTGGGACGCCGGCACGCGGCGGCGGCCCTCCCGCCGCTCCGAGCCCACGCACCAAGCAAGGAAGACGGGGCCGTCTGGCCATGACCGCCGAGGCGGCGGCGGCGGCGGCAAGGATCGACGCGGCTCTCGATGCCGAAGTGCCCGAGAGCGGCGCGCTCGAGGCGACCCTCAAGTCGCTGCTCGCACAGCACGTAGAGCGAGCGTGCGCCCGCCCCGAACGGTCAGCCAGGAGCGCCGGAGCGCCCTCTTTTGAGTGGAGAGTCGCGTCGTAACGAGGGCGACTCTCTGAGAGACATCGTCGCGGAGAGCTATATACGGCGTCCTATGGCCTGCCCTGCCATATGCCCATACTGCCCTGCCGTGCAAACTTCGGTACGTTAGATATATACGGCTTTTAATCACGAGAGTAAACCGCTAAAAATCCTAAAAAACCAGCCAGCAGCCTCCGGCGGGCCCCCCCGCTACGCGGAGTAATGGAGAAGTCTGTCCGCGCCTAAGGATTCTGCCTTTCCTATTCTGCTCTACTACACAAGGATTCTTGCTATTCTACCTCTCACTAGATTCCCCTTCCCAGGTTCCTCTTCTGCTCAGATATTCTGATTCTCTCCCCAGACTCTCCCATCTTGGCCCCGCTTTCAGCTTCCTGATTCTCCATTCTCGTTTCCTCCGCTTCCTTTCCGATTCTCTAGGGCAGCCAGAGCCAATTCCTGATTCTGCTCCCCCCTCCCGATTCTCCTGTCTCTCTTCCTATTCTTGATGCTCCATTTGATTCCTGATTCCTGATTCCTGATTTGTCGGATCGCCCACATTTTGACCGGGATTCTGATTCCTGATTCCTGATTCCTGATTCCTGATTCCAACATTTTGACCGGGATTCTGATTCCTGATTCCTGATTCCTGATTCCTGATTCCTCGGAGTTACGCATTTCGGCGGGATCCTATGTTGGCCTGACTCTCCGAACTCCTGAGCCGATATTGCGTGTGCGCGGGGCTTCACACAGCTCACTCAAACTTCGCCCGCGGCAGCATGCTCAGGCGCGGGTCTCTCTGGCGCTCCAGCCTCACGTCAGCGCACTCAGCGCTTAGGCCTCGGTCCGGCGTCCGCAAAGGCGCAGTGTGTGGTGCGGGCTCTGCCCGCCCCCCCGAGGAGAGGGGGGGGGGGGGCGCTCCCGCGCGGGGGGGAGCCGAGCGAAGCTCGGCTCGGGTTCAAACTAACCCTCCCCCTTTTCCCTTTTTCTAAAACTGCTCGCCGCGAGCGGCTCGCTTCTAAAACGAGCTCGCCGCGGCTGTCGCCGCGTCTCGCCTGTCTAGGCGTCGTGATGCGTGTGTGCTTTTGAGCTGGGCGTATAAGAAGAAGAAATTGAAGCACTCCTCCCATTGACTTAGTACGAGCACCGAGACACGAGACAGCAGCCTACCCGTTCTACACCCACACCGCCGCGGAGCTGCCTAGCTGGCGGGTGCATTCACAGCGAGCCCGCGGGCTTGGAGACCCAATCAGACAGCACTCCCCACAGCAAAAGAGCAGACGTGCCGCTGTGAGCATCGCTGAGCAGCACCAACGACCGCTTGCGGGGTCGCCGCAGGCCGGCGCCAAGCTGCATCTGACGCCGGCATGCCGTTCAAACCCCGGCACCAAGCGCCCGCGGGAATGGGAGACCGCCTGCCCAGAATTAAGATCGGCCGCGCACTGCTCTGGCTCCACCATGCCACCGCCCATGAGATCTCTGACGCACGTGTGATGAGCCGCCGTTCAAAAGTGACTGTACTGTGCGGAGCGCGGAGCGCACTTCGATGGCAAAGTGGGTGGCGCGGAGGATACGGCGCGTACACATGAGCGTGATTGGTTGCGTGAGCATGCCCAGATGGCCGGCCGGCCGGGCTACCGCCCCTCGACGGGCAAAAACAGGAATCAGGAAACGAGAGTCCGGCCGGGTTGCCAAGAAATCGGCGGGCAAAGGGAAAATTCGCTTTCCGGCATCCGGAGGCAGAAACCGCAACCGCGCGACAGAATCTGATAAGGCGAGAATCGGACGGACAGAATCAGATCGATTAGGCAGAAACGGAAGCTGGGTGAGGAATCCTGCCCGGAGGCTGAGTGCGTGGAAAGGGGACGGGCAGAATCAGATCGAGTAGGCAGAAGCGGAAAAGGAGAGTGAGAATCAGAAGAAACGGACACGAATCCCTCTCGAAGCCTCCGCATACAGAATCCTGTCTTGGGTGGCAGAATCGCTAGTGCAGAATCCTCAGGCGTGGACAGGGTTCTCCAAGACTGGCTACGCGCCACCAAGTACCATCCAAACCCGAGTGTACAAAGCGCCTCTCCGAGAGCGCTGCGCAGACGGTGTGCTAATCATAGAGGCGCAAGGGACTCAAGTCCACACACACAAGACACATACACGCGACAGCCGGGACACACGGCTCACGGGTGCCACGTCTAGGTGTTGAGGCTAGAGCAGGTTTGCCTCTCGCACCCCGTCTGTTTTCCTTTCCTTTTTTCTCTACAACACCCTCTCTTTTCCTCTCTATTTTCCCGGGAATTCTCCGTGGAAATCGTCAAATTTTGGGCGCTGAGCCGAGTCTGGAGGCTGGTTTGGGCCCAAAATCAGCCAAATTTTAGGCCAAATCGGCAAAATGCCGGGAATTTTGCGGAGAACCCGTGTATACCTGGAACTTACCCTGCGACCGCCTGGGTATTTTGTCGATTTCCTCAATTTTGCCTCAGATTTTGCCCCAGACCAGCTCTCAGACTCAGGGAAACTCGCGAGTTTCCAGAATGGAGCACCAAACACCCCCTCTGTTTTCCCTGGAAATTTCCGGAAACGCAAAGTGCTGGGGACCCTCTGTTTTCCTTTTTGTTTTCCTACTGTTAACACTAGCAACACTGTTCAGCTCACTTAACGTTTGACAGCTCTAGAAAAAAGCCACGACGTTGCTCACAATCCATTCGACGGCTACGTACGGCTTTTCAAGCCTCTATACACACATACACAATCAACACAATCAACATCCTCTCCATACAAAACAGTCTACTGACGATCTCTTCAGAGCAGAGCGTGGTACGAGCCCCGCCCGCCGCCCATTGCCTGGATGCTCCGCGGCGGCGAGGACGGCAGCCCTCCCTTGTGTCGCCCCGGCGCTATGCGCGACACCTGGAAGAGTTTGCGGTATACCGTGTTGAACTCGAGCTCAGCGTTCACGCTCTGGCTGCTGCTAGCGGCGTCGCGGATCAGCGTGAACTGTGCAGTGGCAGCGTGAAGGGAGCACCAGCGGTGAAGGGCTGTGACCGACTGTGCGTTGCACGTCGCGCGGTGGCTGAGGCTGAGGAAGCCGGCATCGCGCTGTGGAGACCAGGCTATGAGGAGGTCGCCAAAGCGAAGCGGCATCGCGTACTCGTTTGGGAGGTCGTGCAGCCGCAAGAGGGCGACGACCGCGCCATCGGCGTGGTCGAGGTCGAGCAACAGGAGAGCGTCGAGGAACCTCTCGAGCTGGGCGTCCTGCAGGCTACACAGCCCGTCCGCCCACGCCTCGGCGCCCGTGGCTAGCGAATAGCGAGAGCGCCACCGCTGGTACGCTTCTTGAAGGCTGCCCGATGACGCGGTGTTGGCCTCGTCGCCATCACATTCCGGCGGGGCGCTACGCGGCTCGAGGACGCGGTACGAGAAGACGTCGCTGCTGCCGCCGCCACCGCCACCACCACCACCACCGGCGGCGGCGTTGGCATCGAGAGTAAACACAAGCAGCTTGCCCGCAGACAGCAAATCGTGGATCGCTCGCCCCTCGGCGTCCTGGTCCTCCCGCAACGGAGCTTCAGGCCCGGCCGCCCTGACTACCAGGAGGCGGCTCGGAGCAGGCACTGCACGCTCGGTGGCTGCCAACGGAGTGTGGGCAACAACCGGAGCCTTTGTCCACGTCCAGCATCGACACAGCCGCTCCCACAACTGTCGCCTTGCCAAGGCGCGGCGATTAGCGGCCTCAACCCGTGCCGCAGCCCTCGCTGCTGCCCTGGCTTCCTTGGTGGCGACAGCCTCTCGCATGCGTGAGATCTCACGCCGAAGCGCCCGCAGTTGTTTAAAGGTTGTGTCCTCGCGGGCCTGGAGCGTCACAAGCTGCACTCGCATCGAGGGCTGACGTGTGGCGCAGACACAGAGAGCGACGATGGCGCAGGCGAGGAGGAGAAGAGCCGCTGCTGCCAGCTGCCAGCTTCGCGTTTGCACATTTGAAGTCATCAAACGTGCCAGCTCTGACGCCGCCGCCACAGATTCTCTGGCCGTCGTCTCCACCGCCGTTTGATGCTGTCGCAGGGAGGATTGTACATCACTCAGTCCATCCCTCATGCGCTGTAGCTCGGCCGCGATCGCAAGCTGATACCCCGGTTGACGGCTCGCGATGTAAATGGCGCAGGCCAGAAGACATGCACACACTCGTGGACGGCATGCGCGGGAGGTCACATCGCGTCGCCTCCCTCTGTGCCCTCCTCCGGGTAGAGGAAGTGCCGCCGTGGCCGTCATGCGCCCTCCATGTGTGGTGACGAGAGCGGCTCAGGCGAATTGATTCTTTTTTTCCGTGACACGTGTGTTGAGCACTTGAGCACTGGATAGGGTCGATTCCGCATGGTACGGGACCCCTCGATCGTCTCGCCACCCTCACTGGAGTGTTCATTGGGGGGGGTCATAACAAACACGGTACAGGATCGAGGTGCACGCTGCCGAAGCAGTGCCGTCCCCCCTCTCCCCGACCGACGGCGATGGCGGTGTGACCGATTCGTGTGTTTGTCAGTGAATGTAGCTCTTACGTACATTCCCGGAGGAGGACTCTGCTGACAGGGTTTGCGATGAGGAGCGCCCGAAGGGTTTCTCGGAGGTTAGTGCACCACTAACCGCCGAAGCGCAAGCACTTGCTTGGAGCAAGAGAGAGAACTACGACGTATCGGTCTCATACTAGCACCCCACCTCGCGAGCCGACGTTCTGGCCCAGCGAGGTTGCTGCGGAGCACTCGCGGACCGGTTTGTTGCCTGGCGTTCATCCCGTTGTCGGCAAATTCCTGTCCCCGCGATAAGCCCACATTTCTTTCGGTCCATTGTACGAGTACCCGACGGGCGTCGGCGGGCGCGGCCGTGCTTATGCCGCTCGAACCAGGATGGCCGCCGCAGCTTCTCGTGTGCTACAACTCACTCTCCGGCAGGGCGGCGAGACCGCGGGCCTGATCGATCGCAGGAGCCTCTTCCAGTGGCTGCTCGCCCTCGGCGAGCTCCTCGGGGCAGACACCGCC